AATAAATAAATAAATAATATCGTCAGCATAGAGCGAAATCCATCATAATAAGAGATTAAGAATGTCATTTATATAGAAGAAGAAGAAGAACACTATTCTTAGAACTGTACCCTGGGATACTCCATTAAGCACAGTTTACAAGCTAAACATTCTATAGTCTTTAATGGTTCCCAACTACGAAATTATTCACCGATCTAAATCAGTTACCATCGATCCCGATATTCCATAAATTGCATAACTGTTTGTTGTATTTACAATTTGATTTCTTGCAGAATGGGTATTTAGTAGGAGTCTAACAGATAATTTGCTGGAAATTCATTACAATTCATAAATGTGAACCATTAATAAACAGAATAGAATTATAATTAACAGAATGGGGTTTTGTAGAGATTTTAGTCATTTAATTGTTATAACTTGTGACCTGCGTACTCTGTTTATTGCATAACGTAATGAGACTGACAAATAGTGAACAGTGAATTATCGATCGGACCAGTGATGCATAAAACCAGGACGAGCAGTCTCGAGTCCTTATCGGTCCTGCTTCCTGCCTAGCCCTGCTTACCTGTTCGAATCCAGAACACCAATCTCAACCTCTGCAATATGAATTATGTATTTCAAACATACTGGGTTTATATACCAATCAAACAGGCCACATTGTACCATACAATAGAAAACAACATTAATACAAGATTTAGCCAAAAGTGGCTGTGAATGTTGGAGATTGTAATTGATAGACTGTGCATAATTCAAGAATGGTAATTTGTATCATAATAGTTCATAGATCAAAATAAAACTCATAATAAGAGGGACATGAATATGAATAGTTTACTTACATAACAATGAAATGATAAAAATATGCGCATAGTATTGGTCCATAAATGGATCCTAAAAGTTACCATTCATTATGCTTATCGGGACATAACATTAATGAGCTTCAATTGGCTCATGAATGTCGCTATTAGAAATTACTACAATCTCCATAAAACCTCATTTTAATCATAATCATCATATACACACTAGTGACTGGTTTCAAGATGTAATTCCTGGAGTTCCAGTGAGAAGCATTGACCAGTGGAATTCAACCGGGTCTGTTGTGAGATAGTAACTCACTGATAACAATGGTGGACGGTGACTTTATTTGTTCGACACTAACACCGTTGGATGCCGACTCATTGGTTTTGAGGTGAGGCATTCACATGCGAAACCAGTAGATCTTAGGTTTGAAGCCTGAGGGCAGGATCGCTAGTACGCACTGTTGAGGGGGTCCCATACTAAGACAAAACGATCGTCCAGTCCATGCAGATTGTTCATGGTTGTCTAGATTTAATTAGCTCATGAATTCAGCCACAAAATAATTATAATTATTAAGCTTTATTGCAACTATTGACTGAGTAACATAGTTAATTAACATGGATTACTACTAAGTTTTCAAGATTTTTATTATTCAGGATAGTTGTGTAAATTCTTGTTTGCTACATGATTAAACCTACCTCTAATCAGCGTTATCATATACGATAAGTCGAACTGACTTTATGTCCTGAATATGACCTTGGACAGGGTTGAATTGATCATTCTAGGGTATGTATCGTATTTTAGATGGTCTTGGGTTCCCGGAAAATTCTGGAACGTTACTAAACCTAGTGGTAGCCTAGGTAACCATCCAATCAAAAACTCGACATGTGACTTTTCACTTTCTAGATGTTTCTGGCAAAAATTTTAACGAATGCTGGTTGGATAAGATGCTTCTCAATGTTTTTTAAGCGTTTTTTCTGGACAGTTCTGGACAGTAGTATGAGCATCCACCTCAACTTGATAACGACTTTCACCGATAAACCATCCAACTCAGAGAACTCAACAACAGTAGAGTGTTTTTTTTCTTCTGACTGATTCAACTGTCCTCAAAACTATTATGTGAGATGTTAGATACTGGCCACCGTGTTGAATGATTAAAACTGGACTAGAAGAAATTGTAAAAAGATTCTGGAAGTGAATAAGACACACATAATGGAAATCATAAAACTGAATCATAAGGCAAACTCTAACTTGCCAAGTTTAAGGGAGAAGAGATAGGCCATAGAACAAATTGTGCCGGAAATAGGAATCAGATATCAAAAGAATGGAAGGAACTTGTCAAGAAATGGAAAGGCGAGCCCAGGACAGAGTTGGTTGAAGTATCCCCATCGGTGACCTATTCTCCACACGCGATAACAAGAGTAAGTAACTAATTAGGCATAGGTCGTTAGGACTCAAACAACTAATCATAAAGATATGTTTGCTTTACTCAACTTTGTTAAATCAGGAAACCAAGTACACTAAACCTATTTCATTAAGGTTCCCGATTTTACATTAATTTTTGTTGACGAAATTACTGAACTTTCCTAATTAGATTATAGTAAGATGTTGGTCGTTCAGAAGAACTATGGAAGCTCCAAGAACAAACCATCCAGCTTAGAGAACAAAACTCCATTAGATTATATTAAACTATGTAAGCGAAGTATTTTGTGTGTAGACCATCTAACTCAAATCATATCAAAATAAAACCAATGCATTGAATGTCATATAAACTTGAATGATATCCAACATTTATAACGCTTTCATTTGACAAGTACATTAGATTTCCTTCCATCTTAATTCCGTGAAATTTTGCACAATTTAATACTTCAGAGGCAACTAGTTATAAAATATTTATAATTACAAAGTATACTACTTATTTATTATAAGTAATAAACAGTGAATAGTGACAAATTTACCGAGTAGATCTGTAGTGAGACTGTATAAAACTACCTTTGACAATTAAAATGTTTACTATCTAACATAAAAAAGACTGTACAGACATATTTTATAAAACTAAAATTTTAATTTGAGGAAGTTTCAAGAGTGTAAAAAGCGCTTCTTCCTCCGCTGGAATCTGGTTTGTTCTCCCACCCCAGGTGGTTGTTGTTGATAGTGTTTGACCAACAGATCCTAAGTATTATGCGTAGGACCACTGTTAATAAACACTTGTATCTATTGGATGATGGCTTTCGTAGTGCTGCAAGTTTTCGCTCCATAGAGTAGAAATGTCTTGACATTTGTATTGAAAATTCTGACTTTGTGAGAGAATATGGCGCTCACCGTCATTCTTCATCCAACTCTGTCCTGGTCAATCCTCCCACTTAGTTCCAGTTTCTGTTCATCATTTTGACGTCTGCTTCCAATTCTTGATGTAGGGTATTCTTTTGTGTTCCTATTTTTCGTTTTCCCTTAGGATTTCACCCTCAGCTATTCAAGGGTTAATCCTTGTTCCAAGTCCAGATAAAGGAGGAGGGTTGGGCATCGGGTCAGAAACCCCATCCTGTAGCAAACAACCTTGTTTAAAAAATACTCTAATCAGAGGCTGTGATACTTAGGAATAAATCTTGATTTCTTTGTATATAATTATAGACTATCTTATTTCCTAATTAATTATAAATACGATGTTACAATTGCAATGAATTATATGGTTGAAACAAAACTTTTCTTTACCGAATTGTCCTCACTTCTTGATATATTCCTCGATAACGTTGAGTATGATTGTTTCCCCGAAGAAAATCTGACGATTTCACCAGCAGTAATGTTAGGATTATTCAAATTTAAACCATCTAAATTATTTGATATATAGTTTGTAATTTTAATATCTTCATCTTTTGATGAATAATTGATATTTACTAGTAACTTGGTCAAAAAGCACATGATATGTACTTGTTAAATGATATAATATCAACATTTATGTATCCATTACATCGCGAAGTTTGGCAACTTTTAAGCTAATAGCCGAAGGAATTTCTCCCAACACCACATTTATTTAGTCCTTTTCGGAAACTTGGAGAACTACTACAACCATCATCAAGAAGGTACAAGTATTTATAAATAGTTGTCTACACAAGATACTCAACATCCTTTGGTCGGATACCATCAGCAACAGACTTCTGTGGGGGAGAACAAACCAGCTTTCAGCTGAAGAGGAAATTAGGAAAAGACGACAGAAGTGGATAGGATATACATTACGGAAATCATCAAACTGCATCACAAAGCAAGCCCTAACTTCGAATCTTGAAGCGAAACGGAAAAGAGGAAAACCGAAGAACACACTACGTTGAGAAATAAAAGCAGACATGAAAAGAATGAATATCAACTGAAAAGAATCGGAAAGGATTGCTTGGGACAGCTTTGGATGGAGAGTGTTGGTGCGCTGCCTATCTTTCTCGATGGGGAGTAACAGGCGTAAGTAAGTACGTAAGCTTTTTTGAAAATATGTTTGTTCACGAAATAAAGTACCATAGTGTCTTCGAACCATAGAATCAGATCATACTACAGACTTCCGTTAAAATGGTTATTGTTTCTTTAAACAAGACCATAATATTGTGGATTTGATTTCATTTGAAATAACCGATGTATATTATTAAACATTTCAGAACTAAACTAAAATAACTTTCCTACACTAGGTAATTCTCAATAGGTTTCTATGATGGTATAACTTTTTAATAAAATCTAGTCTTGACAAACTATCCAATGTAATTTTAAATTATTTCATTTCATTTTGACTTAATGAAATACTAATAAAATCTATACATTACCACCGGTAAAAGCTTGGAACTACTGGATGGTTTTCATTGATGGTCTAACATTGACAAGTTTATGATTTCAATGAGATTCAACAATCTCTATAAACTATAATTAAAAATTATGTATAAATCAAAATGGGGCACTGAATATATATTTGTGTGTGGGCTGTGATACTGCTCGAGTGCCCAGACCGAAGCTGGTGGTTATCTTAGGGAGCCACACCCTGAGCCTTCGATCTAAAGGTCTGATCCACAAGGCAGTGGAGAAATGTTAGGAGATGTAGTCTCATGGTTGCCGGTGTCCAACGATTGCTTCATACGCCATTTGTTCCCTCAGGATACTGGAATCTATGTACACCATTGGTTTGGACTCAAGGTTTTCCAACTCCCCTAGGTGGATTCTCCGTGTCCACTAACCCGGTTAAAACGCCGGACATTCGCTCTTCGTAATGGATTTTCATTAGAAAACTCTGTTGTACGTGATTGGGCTCTGATTCACCAGTCAATGCTGAATTATCTACCTAAGAAAATAATTTTTAAAAAAAATGATTCGACGGTCATATTGATTAATTTTAACAATTTGTTAAATATGGTTACTACAGGATTGAAGTATAAATTACTCGGACTAGTCACCTCTTCCTATACACACCAATCAATTCAATTGCTTTGTGGAGCAATTCGCATTGGTAGATGTTCTAACAGTTTTCATTTTCTTGTTCGTGAATAACCCTCCCCCCCCCAGTGTAATTGTGTAAAGGTATTGTTTCAATCTATAACAGTTCAGTTTAGTTCATTTAATTCAAACTGATCATATATATATCCTGTGAACAGTTATCTGCCTAAATATGTCAAAATAAGAATCTTTTGAACAGCTGAAGTAATAGCTATTGGAATCGAAAAATTGGAGCTTTGTATCCAAGAGGAAGATGTTTAGCAGCGTTTGTTTTTACCGTGACTACAAAACTGGTATAATTATTTAAAAATCATTTGAATAATATGATGAAAAAAAGTATTATGACGATACTTACAGCTGCCCTCCCCCTCTATGTTTTTTTCTACGTTTCAATTTATTGTAATCATGTATCTTAGTACCCACTGTTATTTACAGGATAGAATACATGCCCCCTAAATTTGTAGATTATCTTTCTTTCATTGTTCAATAGTTTTACAATATTCAGAATGTTGTTTCCAACCGTTTAGTTAATGAATGTCATATATAGAAGGATATTTTTGATTGGGAGATTTTATTTCAATCTTTAACTATCAAATTTTTTTTGTTTGTTTCATTTAAAAATTTTCAGTATTGAGTTATGAAGGTTGTTGAATTTCATTGAAATCATGAATTGATCTAAGTTAGACCGATACTGAAAATCTAGAAGGATTAAATAGTCGTTTTGTCCTAGTATGAGACTCCTTGATATTGCCTATCCACGACCCTTCATATTGGACTTAAACCTAACACCATCATAAATTTATTGATCCTGAAAATTTGCTTATCTAGTTCATTTAGCTTTGATTTTTAATAATGTTCTTTTGGATAAACTTGAGTTAGTAAAATAAACAGATGATATGAGAATCCAGGATATCAAAATCGAAGAAAACATTTCGGAGTATGGGGTTATGGAGGTTATCAAGTTTTTGATTGAGATCATAAAACGATGGATGTTAGATTATCATTGAAAACCTGGAAGTACTGGACAGCCGTTTCATCCTGTTTTGGGACTCCTCAGCAGTGCGCATCCACGATCCCACTCACGGTATTCGAACTCAGGGCCTTTGGTCTCTCACGCGAACATCTAACCTCTAGACCATTGAGCTGGCCGGCATCCAACGGTGTTAATGTCCAGCCTCAGCTAATCCATAGAATTGCGTGACCTCTCTCTACCCGACACGGATTAGCTTCACTGGTCATAGCTTCTCAATAGAACTCTGAGAATTCCCACACGAAGCTAGTCACTAGTGAGAACATGATAATTATCAGTATGAGGTTGTGGAGATTATTAAGTTTTTTTTGTGATTGAGATTATGAACCGGTTAAGATTATAAATGAATTAACATTTGAGAACTAATCTATAAATCAAACTGTTAACTCATGTGATTTATCACATATATTAGTCATATAGAAACATTATTACATAGTTGTATTAATAAAAAAATGAAACCCTAAATGATACAGTTGTCTTAGTGTTTATCGCTAAATTTTCTAATCGAAATGGATGAAAGCCGTGACCAGTGGAGCTAATCCATGTCGGAGAGAGACAGGTATTTCGTGGATTAGTTGAGGTTAGACATTAACACCATTGGATGCCGGCTCAGTGGTCTAGAGGTTAAGCGTTCACGCGCTAGACCGAAAGCCCTGTATTCGAATCCCGCGAGTGGGATCGTGGATGCGCACTGCTTAGGAGTCCCACAATAGAATGACATGGCCGTTCAGTACTTCCAGGTTTTCCATGGTGATCTACCATCAATCGACTGATAATCTCAATCAAAATGAATTCATTATATATTTACTTACTTTAAATGAACTTGCAGTAATAATTCTTATGTCAGCTGGAATACGATCACCAAATTTCACTTCAACTATATCACCAACAACTATACTTTCTGCTGGTACTTCAGTTTTTAAACCATCTCGTATGACAAGTGCAGTCTGAAAGTTTTTTGTATAACATTACATTATGATAAAATAACAAATGAGAAAAGGAAAGTGTTATTACTACTGAAAATACTGAATATAAATATTATGTCAAGTGATTTTATATTTTACAATCTCCTAAAGAAATGAGTACAGATAATAAATTTAACTAACTTCCATAAAATCTTTTTGAACTAAAACCATGATTATCATTCCACTAGTTACTTACTTCATGGTGTTCTAGTGAGATCTCATGACCATTAGATTTCAGAAATGTTATTAATGAAACAGTTTTCACCTATGGGAGTAGATAATTATCGTACCATACTGCAAATTGGTTGAAGCTGGTATCATAGTAATGGACAATGACCCAGTGGTTTTAGTGGTTGAGACTTGAAGGTGCTGGATTCGATGCTTAGTGGAGTTGTGGGTGTACATTACTGAATAGTCCTATACTGTTACTGGACAGATTCTTAGTATCCTTTGGTTTAAACTGATTCCTTAACTGAAGTCAACCTGTAGTAAATACAGCTCGTAAATTAAATTAGTCTTTACAAAACCTCTTTCGGTTAGAAGTCGTTAACATACTTGATTTAATTCTTACTGTTGTATGTCATCATTTTTGTCTGAAATTGTAATGGCTTGTAATTACTTCTATATTAATACATCGATCATTCATTAAACGACGACGAGCATCATGTTCGAGATGATGGAGAAGATTTGTAGCTCAGGTGGATGATTTTGGTGAAGTAGACTACTGCTTGAACTTTGCGCAGATGATGGAGTTCAGATGAAAGCTTCACGACTAAACCATCCAGCTCAGAGAACAAAATTTCACCAAAAGGCATCATGTTTGCCTAGTTTTCAATGATAATTGACAGAAACCTATCGATCATGTTTAAATGATTCGACATTACATGCAATATATTTTACTGCTAATTTGCCACCTAAATATTTTAGTGGTAGCTTACTGGACTGTGAATCTAAGTAACGAATATTTAAATACCATAATGTTCATAAGTTAATTGAAGATTGTATGTCTTGTGAATCACTTACTTACTTACGCCTGTTACTCCTCGTGAAGGAGCATAGGCCGCTCACCAGCATTCTCCATCCAACCCTGTCCTGGGCAATCCTTTCTAGCTCCGTCCAGTTCCTATTCTTCCTTTTCATATCTGCTTCTATTATCCGACGCAATGTGTTCTTTGGCCTTCCTCTTTTTCGCTTCCCTTCAGGATTCCAAGTTAGGGCTTGACTCATGATGCAGTTTGACGATTTGCGTAATGTATGTCCTATCCATTTCCATCGTCTTTTCCTAATTTCTTCTTCAGCTGGAAGTTGGTTTGTTCTCTCCCACAGAAGACTATTGCTGATGGTATCCGGCCAATGGATGTTGAGTATCTTGCGTAGACAACTATTTATAAATACTTGTACTTTCTCGATTGTGGTTGTTGTAGTTCTCCAAGTTTCAGCTCCATACAGTAGAACTGCCTTGACGTTCGTATTGAAGATTCTGAATTTGATATTGGTCAACAAACAGTTGTTTTGAGTCCTATATGTTCTTCAATTGTAGGAATGCGACCCTTGCTTTGTGAATCAGTACCAACTAAAATCAAACCCAGATTCAGAGTTTCCTAACTAGCCTCTAAGTAGTATATACATTCTTCGTTAAACGAAAAATCATCTCGACTTTACTACAGACAGTGTAAGTATTTCAAGGTTAGGTTGGCTATTTATTACTAAGTAGAGATTCGTTAGAAGCTCACGTACAATAGTTAATATGGTTTGCAAATTGGGTAGATAGGTTGGAAAAACGTTCGGATAGCTTTGTTTTGTATTTAGATAGAGAAGGAGAGAAATTCACCTGCAATACTCTTTATTTATCAATTTGAGTTCGGAAAACTCTGTGTTTAGTCAGTCATCATCGAAACACAACTAGATTGTCGGTATACTCCAAATCAATAAAGAAGTCTCTGGGTAGAAAGTCGTTCTTGGATGATCAGTAGGTGAAATTCCTACCTCTAAAAAATATTTTTAACGAAAACAAACTAAGTTTTTAAAGTAAGAAAACCTGATGAACATCACTTGGCAAATAAAAGTTCATAGTTGAGTTCATGAGTCAATTAAAGCTGGACCACCATGGAAAACCTGGGAACACTGAACGGCCATTTCGTCCTAGTATGGTACTACTCAGTAGTGTGCACTCACGATCTGGTACGCGGGATTTGAACCCAGGACCTTCGGTCTCGCGCGCAAGTGCTTAACCTCTAGACCACTGAGACCGCATCCAACGGTGTTAAAGTCTAACTTCAATCAATTCACGAAATTACAACACCGTCGACCATTGTCTTCTGTGAATAACTACCTCACAACAGACCCGGTTGAACTCCACTGGTCACAGCGAGACCGAAGGTCCTGGGTTCGAATCACATGAGCGGGATCGTGGATAAGCACTGCTGACACGAATAATCATTATCAGATTGTATTATAAAATTGAATCATCTATTTCTGATTTTTGAAATGGTATAATGGTTTGATTTCATCAATATTTTCTTTTACAGAATTTTCAATACAAATGTCAAAACAGTTCTACTGTATGGGACGGAATCTTGCAGAACTACGAAAGTCATCATCCACAACATACAAGTGTTCATTATCAGTTGTCGACGCAAAATACTTCGGATCGGTTAACAAGACGCTATCGGCAACAGCCTACTGTGGGAGAGAACAAACCAGATTCGATTGCAGGAAGAAATCACGAAGAAGTTCTGGAAGTGAATAAGACACACGTTGAAGAATGCACAGAACTGCGTCACAACGCAAGCACTCATCACATGGAATCCTTAAGTGCAAAGAAGAAGAGGAAGACCAAAGGACACATTACGCTGAGAAATGGAGACATACATGAGAAGAATGAACAGGAATTGGATAGAAGTAGAAAGTAAGTCCGAGGACAGAGTGGGTTGAAGAATGCCATTCGGTGGCCTATGCTCCATTGAGAGTAACAGGCGTAGGTAAGTTGTAAGTAATATTTTCTTTGAATACAAGTGAATATTCATTTGTTGTGTTTAACTGTCCTCATAGATTAGTTTAACTTAGTGTTTTTTACCACTCGAAATCAATAGAACAAAGTGATTTAGCATTATTTCAATGGTGTTTAACGATGATTTACTTTAATTCATGAATTTAATTAGACAACTGTAACAAAAGTGTTTAGTTTTATTATACGTAGCTATTTGATCCTTTGTACCAGATTCCTTGTCAATGTGTATATACGACTATATCACGAGTTGAAATCTGACCTTCGGGCCTTAAAATGATTACTCAACTTTAAAAAAACACACTACATTTACATCGAGTAGCCCATGAGTTAATTTGTGATACTGGACAATTATAATAAATTAACATAAGTAGTGTTTATTTCACCAGTAATATGGTCAAGTTTTCATTGCTCATTACTTTTTAACCAGTGGTCTGTTTGACACTTTATTCTATGATCTCTAATGATTTACATTTAATAATTTTGTACAGAATTAAAATGTAGCCTTATTAACAATTAAATCATTCATTTCATAGAATACAACATAATTATCATCTAAATGCCGTGGTGCGGCCGAGAGTGGAGAGAGTCAGCTCTCCCTAGCAAATGATCACGTCCATACAACCACTGTTAGGGAAGTCCTACTCACTGAATTCTCGTACCACGTATATTGTTTACGAAATTGAGAGGATGAAAGGCGAATATCCGCTGCTTTAACCGGATTGGTAGACACGGAGAGTTTACCTAGGGTAGTTGGAAATCCCTTATTACAAACCAATGTTGTACATGAGCTCCAGTATTCTGAAGGAACAAATAGCATATGAACCAATCGTTGATCACCAGCTATCATGGGACTGCATCTCCTTACGTTGCTCCACTGCCTTATGGATCAGACCTTTAGGTCAAAGGCTCCGGATGTGGTCCCCTATGTAAACCACTTGTTTCGGTTTAGGTACACAGACAGTATCCAAGCCCTCACACAAATCGCATGATTTATGTGACGTATATCTATTTGGTACCTTCTTGTAACAATATTTATATGTTGAAATAAATAAATAAACTTTCTTACTTGTGGAACTAAATTTTTAAATGAATCCATAATACGTGATGATTTTGATTCTTGATAATATGAAAAACATCCAGTAATAACAACAACAGCGAGTAAAACAATACCAAGATATAACTAAAAGAAATAATAATAAAAAGAATATTAAATTTAAAAAAGCAAATTATTATTATTATTATTATTATTATTATTATTATTATTATTATTATTATTAGTAGTAGTAGTAGTAGTAGTAGTAGTAGTAGTAGTAGTAGTAGTAGTAGTAGTAGTAGTAGTAGTAGTAGTAGGAGGAGGAGGAGGAGGAGGAGGAGGAGGAGGAGGAGGAGGAGAAGGAGGAGGAGGAGGAGGAGGAGAAGGAGAAGGAGGAGGAGGAAGAGTAATGAGAATATGTGAATAATTCCAGAAAGAATAATTGGGAATATTTAGTTCTTTACATTCTTATCTTCAGTGACCTCATAATATTACATAATTATTATGTGTTGTCATTTATGATAGATATATTTTTTCTTATTTCCGATATGTATGAACTATATTGGTCATGTCTTCACAGTAGAACTCAAGGAATCATGTTACAAAATTTGTAACCAGTGAATATATGATTATTATTAGTGAGAAGGAGTTTATAGAAATTATTGATATTCATAGTTTACATAAAGAACCGAGATTTAATTAGATAATCTGATCAAGTTGTAAGTCAATCAGTAACAACGTAGAATTTCGTACGTACGTACATCAGTTCGAGTTGCCACATTACATTAGCACAGAGATGCAGTGGTCGATTCAAATCCCGTAGTGGTATAGGCGGTAAGAGTATAAGCGGTAATCGGAAAGATTAGGGTTTGAAGATGTTATTTAAAGAGTATAATTCAGTGAAATAAATTTGGAAAGTAAAAAAAGAGACAAGGAGGATTCAGGAGATTAGAATTTGGGAGAACACAAAGATTGGATGCACCTACGTCATTGCAAACGATTTTTAGCAATGTCATTCAGGGTTTCTAACCATCGGTTGTAAATAAACACCAATCACGAATCTTATCTAAGGACAAACCCAACCGAAGCTGCTACCTTGATGCGGTGGTCGAGCTTGCCTATCATGATGACTTAACCGAGCTATATTGGCTGAAACATATGTTCCTGTAGGTTCGACCATGCCAGGCAGGTCGATTGGAGAACGATAAGACTAAAAGCAGCAACTCAAGGTCTGAGGGCGAAGTCGTACTTCTGACTGTAGAGGGGTGTGACAGCAGTAAGGTGTTTCCCTCAGACAACCAGCATGACAGCGATGCTGCCTTCCCATAAGGAGGGGTGGGGTTAGAAAAGGTCGACCCTAAAAATGTCACACCTCACCTTACCTCACGGATTTCCGTCTCCGGCGGTAATGCCCTTTGAAGAACGGAGCTAACACGTCAAAAACCTTCCACAAAAAGGCCGTGCGCGACCGGCCTCAAGCAGTTGTCCCTTGGGCTCTGCGGTTACGCTCACAGGTCGTTAAGACCACCACTAATCCAATTTCCTTTTCAGGTTCCTCAAGAAATACCCTTCTACGGTGTGGGCAGCCGGGAAGTGATATCAGCCCTCATACCCGTAACAACGCACGAGACCAAGTTGGTCACATTCAAATCCTTCCTACACCTCCTAATACCTCTCTTATCTCCACGACTAACCCTTCTCACGTCTCCTTATCATCTTGCACCGCTAGGGCAAACGATTCGAGTACGTGGAACGCTATTCCTGGTCTCCTGAAACCACGCTTTAAACTACACGTAGGAGCTTTTAACGTCCGAACACTGTGCCAAATAGGACAGCAGGCTTCCCTAGCTAGGACTTTAGAATCCCGCGACATCAATGTGTGCTGCGTCTCCGAAACGCGCATACAGGATCCGAGTAGCGTCATTCATTTGACCTCACCATGCCAAAATAAAGAACCGACTCGATTCACACTTCGTGTATCTGGAAGCCCTGATCCTGCTTCCCGTGGCCTCGCCGGCGTAAGTATAGCATCGAGTCCCAAAGCAGAACTACCTCTCCTAGACTGGAACCCAGTAGACAGTCGTTTGTGCGCTGTCCGACTGAACGAAATAGTAAGGATCCGGAAAGATAGGGACACTTGTCGTTGCCTCTTCGTCGTCTCTGCCTATTCTCCCACTGACTGCAGCGCAGATGATGTAAAAGATGAGTTTTACAGAAAGCTCTCCGACATTCTCCGGAAAGCTAGGCGCTCGGATGTAGTAATAGTGGCCGGTGACTTTAATGCTCAAGTAGGTGAACTTAGCGATAGGGAAAGACACCTAGGTGGATCTTATGGTGTCGTGGCTCAAAGAACAGATAATGGCGACCGTCTGTTGCAGCTATGCTCAGATAACCGCCTGTTCCTTACAAATACTAACTTTAAGCATAAAGAAAAACATCTTTTGACATGGCGACCCCCTAATTCGTCCCAACGTTGGACCCAAATAGATCACATCGCTATCAGCCACCGATGGAGGGGCTCGATAGAAGACTGTCGCTCATTCTGGAGCACATGCTTAAATTCAAATCATGCTCTAGTACGAGCGCGTATCTGTCTGCGTCTTACTGGATGTAGGAAAGACGCTCCAAGGAAACCTCTCAGGGTCCTACTTAATGATAGTCAAGCTAAGAGTATATTTCAGGAACAACTAGGAAAACAGTTAGGCAGCCATGTATTTGATGTTCACCCCGAGGCAGCATGGAATGATATCCGAAAAGCTGTGGAAACAGCAGTGATATCTGCTAGTACGGCAAACCACGAGGTTAGGGAGAAACACTGGATCTCAGCAGCATCTACCGCACTGATAGATGCTCGAAAACTCATTCCACCTGACTCTGAACATAACGAAGAGCGGAGTCAGCTTAAGCGCAAGCTGACAAGAAGCTTACGCAATGATCGTGAACAGTGGTGGGTAGCGAAAGTAAGAGAGATGGAAAAGGGAGCGGCAATAAGTAATAGCAGACAATTGTTCAGACTTGTTAAGGAAACCGGTATTAGGAACCCGACTGTTAACGAAACACTCTCAGAGAAAGATGGACATATTATTCACTCTAAATCCAGGAGATTGGATTGATGGTCAGAACTCTTTAGGGATCAGTTCAACTGGCAGTCAGCCACACTTCGGTTTCCCACGATCTCTAGTCAACCTGAATGGCAAGCTAATGTAAGTCCTACGACTCTTTACGAAGTTGAAAAAGCAATAGGAAATCTGAAGCGAGGGAGAGCGGCAGGCCCTGACAGGTTCACTCCTGAGATTTTTAAGGATGGTGGTCCAGTATTATCAGTGAGATTAACTGAGGTCTTAGGTAGAATTTGGGAACTGGACGCAATCCCATCTGACTGGTCTCAATCACTGATTGTGCCAGTCTATAAGAAAGGACAAAAGTCCTCCTGTGACAATCACAGAGGAATCAGTTTGACTAATATAGTGTCTAAAATATTAACTTCAATAATACTTTGACGCCTAACCAATGCTCGTGAAGAGCAGACTAGAGAAAATCAGGCTGGTTTTCGACCTGGACGTGGTTGTATACACCAGATATTCACACCACGTCAGGTCCTAGAAAATAGACACACATTCAGACGCCCCACAATGGTAGCATTTCTCGACCTTAAGGCGGCATTCGACTCTGTTGATCGTAAGGTTCTATGGCAGTGTTTCTCACTGAAAGGAGTACCAAAGAAGTACATTAACCTTATAAAGGCTCTCTACTCGAACACAACTGGTAGAGTGAGAGCTTATGGCGAACTGTCATCAGAATTGATTACCTCAAGTGGTGTTCGTCAGGGCTGTCCACTCTCTCCATTCTTGTTCAGCTTTGTCGTTGACGTACTTTTAGAAATAGCACTTTCCTCGTCTAGATTTACAGGGGTTGAACTTCTACCGGGAGGTTCACTTGTTGACTTAGAATATGCTGATGACATAGTTTTATTTGGTGAAGACGCTGACAAAATGCAGTCTTCTGACCACTCTAAGCAACAATGCAAGCATGTTCGGGATGCGATTCTCCCCCTCGAAGAGCAAAATGTTGCTTCAGGATTGGGTTGCATTGACACCCGAACTAATGATAGGGAGTGAAGTAGTTGAGTGTGTCGGCCGCTTCACTTATCTTGGAAGTCTCATCAGCCCTTGTGGTCTGGTGTGTGACGAAATCTCAGTACGGATACAGAAGGCTCGACTAGCTTTTGCCAACTTGCGTCATTTATGGCGTAGGCGAGATATCCCTCTATCAACCAAAGGACGTGTTTACTGTACAGCAGTTCGTTCCGTCCTACTTTATGGCATTAAAACATGCCCGATAAGAGTAGTGGATATTCGTAGGTTACTAGTATCTGACCATAGGTGTCTTCGAAACATTGCTCGTGTATCCTGCGACCATCGAGTAAGTAATGCAGTTGTTAGGAAACGGGTACTAGGTAAGGATGGAAAATCAATTGACGAAGTAGTGAAACTTCACCAGTTAAGATGGCTGGGAAATGTGTTACGTATGCACAATCACCGACTGCCTCGATGTGCGATGTTTTGTTGTATAGGAGTAAATTGGAAGAAAGCTAGGGGCGGCCAGAACAAAACATGGCACAAATGCATGAAGTCACTGACAAGTGGACTGAGTCATGTTGGTAGGTGTAGACTACCTGGTTGGGGACCGCGAGATGATAGCAACCGATGGTTAGAAACCCTGAATGACATTGCTAAAAATCGTTTGCAATGACGTAGGTGCATCCAATCTTTGTGTTCTCCCAAATTCTAATCTCCTGAATCCTCCTTGTCTCTTTTTTTACTTTCCAAATTTATTTCACTGAATTATACTCTTTAAATAACATCTTCAAACCCTAATCTTTCCGATTACCGCTTATACTCTTACCGCCTATACCACTACGGGATTTGAATCGACCACTGCATCTCTGTGCTAATGTGGTGTGGCAACTCGAACTGATGTACGTACGTACGAAATTCTGCGTTGTTACTGACTGACTGACTTATCTAAGGACAAAACAAATGTCATATCATAACTATGGTCAATTCTTTATGGGAGTTATAAAACATGAAAATCTTCACAAAACATTGTTTTAATAAAAAGAAATGTATATTAGATCATTATGATAG